GCCCACGGTGAGAGCTCGCCCTGCCCCTCAGCGCCTGCACCTTCCCCGGCCTTGCCGCCTCTGCCCACCTGGTGACACCCAGGGACACGTGGGGACCCTCCTGTCCCCCTGATGGGTGATTCAGGCAGGGCTGGGGTGGCCAGGCTGGCACTGAGCCCCCCAGGGACCCCCAGGCCTGGTTGGTCGGGGCAGGGGCAGCCGGGGCCACGTCCTCTCCGGCAGCAGGGCTGGCAGCAGGAGGGCACCAGGGATGGGCTGGCAGCAGGCCCGGCCTGAGGATTAGCTGTGCCATGGATACAGACTCCGCCGGGAACGCTGTGCTGCAGGCCTGGGGCGCAGTGGCACGGCCTGGCACGGCACGGCACGGCGGTACGGTGTGATATGGCATGGCACGGCACGGGGCAGCCTGGCACCGCCTGACACCGAATCATGGCATCACCTTCCCTATCCCAGCCACCTCTTGCCTGTGCCCACACCCCGGTGGGCTCCCACAGCCCCCCCTGCCCGTGCCCACCCCGGTGGGCTCCGCAGCCGCTCCCCCCGCCCGGGAGGCAGAGAGTTAACGCGGGCCCCACCGCGCTATAAATTTTGCATCGTGCGGGGCTGGGGGGAGCTGGGCGGGAGCCAGGGGCGTCTCTAGGTAACAATAAACACCCGGGCAGGAGCAGCTGGTGCCCCGACCGCCTCTGCATCACAATGCCGGAATCACGCTAATCAACCGCCTGCACCGCGCCCGCACCGCCCGGGCAGGGGCAGGGACAGGGGCAGGGACAGGGGCAGGGGCAGGGGCCAGCCGGGCCCAGGGGCTGCCCGTGGTGAGGGCCTGACCACGGTGAGGGTCCACCCACCGGGCACACGTCCCACCACCCCTCAGCAGGGAGAAGGGCCAATGGCACAGGCCCTGTATGCTCCTGTTGGAGCATCCCTGGGATGCTGGAACAGCAGGGTGTGACCCCTGAGCCGTGCCCTCTGTCCCTGGAGGCAAAGGGTGACACCTGGGGCTCTGGTGACACCACACTGCCAATGCCAACACCACCAGCACGTGCCACCAGCCGTCCCCATCACCCCCACAACGCGGTGGCACCACAGCCGGTGGCCGCAGCACCAGGGAGCCAAACCAGTGCCACAGCACGGCCAGCCTAGGACCCCCCAGGATCATTCCAGTGCCCCCCACACGTGCCTTCCAGGGGCTGGGGCCTGGCCACTGCCACATTCCACACCTTCTCCGTGACTGGAGCTGGGGTGGGGTGCCCAGGGCTGTGTCCCCCTACACGAGGTGTGCCCCTGCTTTCTCTGGGCGGGCAGGAGGTGCAGAGGGGTCATGGGGGTCATGGTGGCCCAGTGGGTGTGGTGGCCGTGGTGGCCCAGGGGCTGTGGTGGCAGCGGTGGCCGCCGTCCCCGCCGGCTGCCGCCTGCATTCCAGCGCAGGAGGCAGCTGTGCCATCACCACCACACCCCCCCCAGCCCCGGCACAGCCCCCCCAGCGCCACTAAATATTAATGCTGCCCTACATTGCGCCGCAGCACCTGCCACGGGCCAGCCCCCCCGGCCCTCGCAGGGCTGGGCAGCTGCCCCAGCACCACCACCCAGCCCAGCACCCCCCCAGGGGCTGTGCCAGAAGGTGTGTGTGGGGGGATGAGCCAGCACCAGCTGTGCCCCCCCCCCAGAGCCAGGAGGGGGAACAAAGCGAGGGTGGGGGAGCAGGGAACACCTCATGGAGGGGGGTAGAGGGTTGGGAGCCCCGCAGGTGCCCTTCTCCTGACCCGGGGGTCCCCCCAGGAGCAGGTTCGGGGCAGGACCTGCCGGTGAATGCGGAGCCGAGCGGCTTCTCCCCCTCTGCCACCACCAGCGCCAGCCACGGCTGACGACGTGCCGCTCGTCACACCAGTGCCAGGCGGCAGCGGGGGCGGCCCCGGCGCCCGCCTTGAGCCCCAGCCAAGAGTCCAGAGCCGAAAAGTAGGGGGTGATTGATGGCAGCGTTTGGCTCGTAAGGGCACCCGGCGGCCCAATCCTCCCGCGGCCCCAATGCCTCCCCTGCCCCTATTCAGAGATCATGTTGTCTCATGTTGGTCCCAGAGGCGCCATTAATTAAAAATACATCCAATTAAATGGCAGGTGAAAGCGTGTGCAGGCACAGCCCCCCCAACCTCCCCCTCCCCGTGCCTTGGCTCAGCTGTGTCGGTGGCAGTGGGGAGGGCCATGTGCCCGCTCGGGGTGCGGTGCCAGGTCCTGTCCCCGCTGCCACCGCGGGTATGGGAGTGCCCTGTCCCCCTGTGCTGCCATCCCTGGGGCGCTGGGAAGGGGGTCACCCCGCCTGTGCCCCCTCCCACGGGCTGGGCAGCACGTGGGGCACGGCCAGAGGGGCACGGTGGCCACGGGCACGACGGCCATGAGGGGACTGTCCCCAAAATCGAGGCTCCCTGGCAGAGTGTCACGGGAGCGCTGGCACGGCCACCCTCGGCGTGGTGACAGGGGGTGGGCAATGCAGGCCCGGCTGCAGCATCACTGGGAGGTGGCACTGGGGGGCACCAGGGGGCACTGAGGGGCACTGGGGGGCACTGGGGGACCAGGGAACCCCCCGGGCTGTGGTGGCTCCACGTTCCCGTTAATTGGAGCCGTTAATGGCGGGCGCCTTCCCGCTCCGGGGGCTGGCAGGAGGCACCAGCTGTGCCCGCCCCAGCCACCGCTTTAATCAAGCTGCCCGTGTGGTGGGGACAGGGCCAGGTAGTCCCATGGCACAGGGGTCGTGTCGCCCTCCTGCCATCCCCCCTGGGCACCACCAGACCTTGCCCAGGGAACCCCCAGGCCGCCCATGCCCACCAGACCCCTGTGCCACCATCCAAAAACCCACCCAAACACAACATCCCAGTCCCATGGGGTGAAAAATGCTGGATCCCATGGGATGGGGGACACACGGGGGGCTCGACTCTCCCCCTCCTTCCCCCCTAAACCCAGGCCCAACACCCTCCTCCATCCTCCCTCTGAGGCCTCCAACACCTCCGTGGGTTTTGTGTGGTGTGGTTTGTTTTTTTCTTTTGGGGGGAGGGCGGCTTTATCCTTTTCAGTCCTTTTATTCTTTCCTCCCCTTCCAAATGCCAAGGAAAGGTGTGAACGGATTTTTGGAAGGAAACGTCTAAATTGGATGAAAAACCTTTAATGCCGACAGCCGGAGCAGCTGGAAGGACAAATATAGCCGGGAAGGAGGAGGAGGAGGAGGAGGAGGAGGAGGAGGGGACGGGGACACGGGGGGAGGTGGTGGCCGTGCCGAGAGCGACACCTGGTGACTGTCACACCCGGCCACGCGTGAACACGCATGTGCCCGTGCCCCGTGTGCGTGTGTGCCCCACGAACACGCGTGTGTGTAAACACACCTATCCACGACGTTCGGGACAGGAGATTCCCAGGGGATGCGGACGTCCCGCCGTGACCCGCTCCAAGGGGAGGAGGCCCCTTTCTCCTCCATCAGCATTCCAGGGGCACGTGCCGGGCTCCCGGGGCCATGCCCGGAGCACCGGGATGCTCCAGAAGCCGCTGCCCGTGGGAACACGTGGAGCTGGACGGAGCCACCGCCACAAACCGGGACTGGGAGGAGAGCGGGGCGGTGGAGGAACGAGGGCTGTGCCGGATCCCACGTTTCGCGGCGATGGAGCCGGGAATGCCGGGATGGAGCAGCCGGGAATGTCGGGATGGAGCCGAACGGCGGAGATTTACAGCGCCCGGCTCCGCGCTTCCCCCAACCCTCCCCCGGCCATTTGGCACGGCAGCTGCTGCCGGGGAACTTCAATGCCAAAATAAATTAAACGGGATAAAACGGCCTGGGCACCCTCGGGTCGGGATGCCGCAGGAGCCGCGGCCGCGCGGGGCTTTGTCTGCGGGAAGGTGGGATGGGAGGGAGCCCGGGATGGGCTCACGTCCCTTCTGCCACGCCGGAGCAGCCCGGGAGCCGCGGGCAGGGGCCGGGAGGCTGGATTAGGGATCCATCCGAGTGCACGGGGCCCAGCTGCCCCCTCCATAAATCAGGGGAGGCCGGCTGGGTGCTGGGGGGCTCTCGCTCACCCCCCCCCCAGCGCAGGGAAGCACCCGGCGCCGCCACCCCCCTGCCATCTGCACAGGGATATATTTTAAGACGTGTCAGCGCAGGGATGTTAAACCAGGCGAAAGGAGAGCAAGAAAGCCGGGGCTGGAACGGGGAGCGAGGCGCGGGGGGAGAGGGATGGACAGAGCCCACAGCACCCCCTGCTCTCTCTGCCCTCCCACCATCCGCCCTCAGCCGAGCACGAACGAGCCGGGGATACCCAGAGCAGCCGCTGCCCACGGGGCTCCTGCCATCCCAAATTCCTGCCCAGGGCAGGAGGACTGGGGTGAAACCCCCAGCAGGAGCCAGGTTGGGGCTGGGAGCAGCACAGAGGAAGAGCAGGAAGGGATTCCTGGGGAGGAAGGAGAGGGAGGGATGGATGGAGGGATGGATGGAGGGCACAGCCACAGCTCCATGTGTGTGCCCGAACAAAATCCATCCCCTCCAGGCACCCCCGGGTCCCCTCCACTGCCCAGGGGGCTGCCAGGAGCTGGGAGAAGGCTGGGAGGCAAACCTTAACCTCAATCCTCCCCTTTCCCACTCCTCTCCCACCTTCCCCTCGGCTCCTTCCTCCTTCTTACTCCCACCTTAACCAAACCATCCCCTGCTCCAGCTCGGGCATCTCCCACAACGCCCCTCCGAGTGGGATGAGACCCCGGGGCTAATGAGGGCTTGGATCTTAATTAGCAGATTGGAATTTGGGGCTATGGATGCCAAATCCCTCCACCCTCCCCAGGAGGGCAGGACCAGGGAAGAAAAGGCTTTTTTTTTCACCCAAGGAAAACAGTTACCGAGTGACTCCAAAGGCTACGGGGAAGCAAAGGAGCAAAAAAGGCAACCCAAGAAGAGATACAGTAACAGGAAATATTTAATTTTTCCAATCTCCACTTCTCCATTTTTATAAACCGAAAAGCAAAAAAAAAAAAAAAAAAGGCAAAAAAAAAAAGATTTTTAATATATTACAAAATATCTGTACAGAGACAAAGGTACAACCGAAAAAAAAGGCGCTCGGTCTCCAAAGGAAACTCGGGAGAGGTAAAGTCAGAGTGTGTGACCAGAGGCTTCTCTGCTGGGAATTGCTACAGCGGGAGAGACGTAGGATTGACCCCAAAACCAGGATGGGGGGGAAGGAGGGGGAGCTGCCATCCCAACCCCTCATCCTTTCTGTAACCTCCTTTTAAATGTAAAAAAAAAAAAAAATCCCCCTCTGAAACCAGCAAATCCTTTTGTCTTCTTTGTGCAGAGCACGGGGGGGGGGGGGAGGGAAGTAAAAATTAAAAAGAGGGGAAAAATAAAAGAAAAAGAGGTGGTGGGGGACAGGAGTGGCCCCACAGCCTCCGTGGGTCCCCACAGCCTCCCGTGGCCCTGGCAGGGACTGAGAGGCTCGTGCTGGGACCAGTTAGGAAAGGCCAGTGGAGCTGGAATTGCTTGTCCCTCCTGGGGTGTTCAGGGGGTGAGGGAGAAGGGAATGGTGGAAACTCCTCCTGCAGGAGCCCAGAGGGCAGATGGAGGGGACAGACACCTGGAATGGCTGTCCCTGGCCAGGGGTGGGACAGGGAACAGGAGCCCCCAGCTCCTTCCCAGCCCCTGCTGGAACAGGGAGCAGTGGGGAGGGGGGACAGAGCTCTGCCAGCTGGGAGAGACCACCCTGAACTGGGACCAACCACCCCTAAACTGGCACAAACACCCCCAACTAGGACCAGTGGCCCCTAAACTGGGACCAGTGGCCCCTAAACTGGGACCCCAAGGCCGGGATGACACCGGCACCGAGGAAGGGGCAGAGCCTGTGGGAGGAAGGGGCTCGTTCCTGGCAGCTTTTCCTGGGAATGTGCCAATTTGGAAAGACAATAAACAGGCCTCGTCTCCCCAGGAGGGTCCAGGCACCAGGAACACGACTTTTCCTTCCAAATTGGGTGGGATTGGGAAGGAACAACAAAAGCAGCAGCAGCAGCTCCGCGGCACCCCGAGCTGGCAGGTGCCAGGGAAGGGGAAAACAGAGAAATTACCCCCCACTGGAGAGGTGCCTGGGGGGTTCAGTGCACTGTGTGTCTCACAGAACTTCTCTTTCTTTCCTCTCTGCACATCAGGATGAACTAACAATTAAAAAAAAACAAAACAAACAAACCAAAACAAAAAAAAAACACCCCACAGATTGCCAGTGGGAACTCAGCAAACTAAACACAAAATATATCCATTTATAGCGACTTTTCTCTCCCCTCCTTCCTCCCCTCGGCACAGCTGGGTAAGGCAGGATTTCCCCAGGTGGAGAAGCATCACCTATTCAGGTGCATTTATTTAAATTTCTCTCTCTGTATAAAAAGAAATTAAATCCTGTTAGTAGCAAGGCCCCCCCCACACCCTGGATTTTACCCTCCCCTCCCCTTTAACACTCCAGAACTGTCGGCTCTAAAATTCAGTGTTTTCCATAGGAAAGGCCTACTCAGAAACAAAAAAAGCTGATAAATAGGTACCTTTGTTTTATTCATCTCTTTTTAAGTCTCATTGAAATGAACAGCGCAAGGGTCTGCGGGGAGGAGAAAAATTCATCGTAAATACTTCCTCGACCACCAACAAAAATAGAAATATGCTCGTAGAAATGACACAGGAACACCTGGGAAAACCTCCCAGGGCTGAGACGTGACCGACCTCGGCAGGGTGGGCAGCACCAGCCCGGGATTCTGGGGACAAATCCCACCAGGAGCTGGATTTTTGTCTCCTTTTTTTTTTTTTTTTTTTAATTCTTTTCTGGAAGTTACAAGTGACAGAAATCCCTGTTTGTCAGGGAGGTGTTCGCCTCGGCTCTTAAAAAAAAAAAAAAATAAGGAAAAATAAGACAATTCCCGCTGCAAAGTTACAGCAGGAGGGGTTCAACCTCCAGAGACCCTTCCCAAAATTCAGTGTACTAAGGCTGCTGTCACAGGGGACAGCACCTGGCCCCGGAGCAGAGGGAAAACTGGAGGCCTTATGGAAAAAAACCCAACTGAGCACAACCAGCATCACATCCCAGGCCCCCAGCGCTGGGATAACCCCTCCAGGTGCCTCTGCATCAAAATATTCCCCTTTTAATTTGTTTTTTTGTTTGTTTGTTTGTTTCTTAAGGAAATGGGGAAAATAAACAAAAGAAATAATTGCTTTGGGAAGCAGCCTCCCCCCAGCCCTCCCTGACCACTGGGAAACAGCTTTTTTCCTTTTTTTAGCTTCTTCCTCTCATTCCAATTTTTCCATCGATCCCCCCCTCTCCCCTGGCTCAGTTTGGGACTGTTTTTTATCACTAACCCAGCACGGGAGGGTCTGGCCCCGGCGGGAGCTGCGGCACATCCCGAGGGAGGGCGGGAGGGAGGGAGGGATGCACAGGGAGCTCCGCAGCAGCTGAAATGTGGATGAGACCTCGCTCTGGCCAAAAAAAAAAAAAAACCCCAAAAACCCCCAAGGAAACCGAGTCCTGTGGCTGAAGGAGGAGAGGCGAGGGGGGGAATGGTCAGTAGGGAACCCCCCGGCCGCGGCCCCCCCTCGGAGGCACTCTGCCAGGCCCTCGGAACGCCTTCCCGTAGGACGACGGTGCCTGGCTTGGGGCTCCCCAGCCGGGCCCCGTCCCTGCCCCGCTGGATCCGGCCGTTCCCGGCCCCAACTCGCCGTAACTCTGGATTTTGGCCTCGGCGTGTCCCAGCGCGTTGTTGCTGCTGCTGCTGCTGCTGCTCCCCTCGGATTTGCCGAAGGATTGCCCGAGCGAGTGGAGGCCGACGGGGACTCTGGCGAAACGCAGGTCCTGGTCCCCTGGGAACTGCACCGAGCCCGTGCCCTGGTAGTTGCTGGTCTCGCCGAGGTGGCTCACGGAGCCCAAGAAGGTCCTGCTTTTCCCCAGGGGCTGGGCAGAAGGTTCTAGAAGAGTCTGGCCCGAGTTGAGCTCCTCGGCACCGAATCCCCCCTCGGAGCCGTCGGCGCTGTAAGTCCTGGAGGGCTGGGGGCGGCCGTAGTCCCTCGGGGCCGGGGGCTCCTGCGTGGCGTGGCCGGGCAGCTCCGTGTCCTGCTGGGAAAGGAGCTGGAGCAGCGCAGCCGTCACGGCCGGATTCAACTCCTGGGCTGCTCCGGAGAGATCCCCTTCGGGCACGGGAGGAGGCGGCGGCGGTCCGGGGGGCTCGGGGGGTCTCTTCTCTGGAGGGACAATGCCGGGAGGACACGCTGTGGAAGGGGTGACTCCTTTTAAAACACCGTTTCAAACACACACACACAAAGACATTTCACGAGCAAACCAAACCGGGATGAACCGGGAAGAGGCGGAGAGGGAGGGTTTTAAGGCTCCTCGCCGGGAGGTCGGGGCGATGTGTTCATTAACACCGTCACCCAAAAGGCCCCACACGGCAACAGCTGTCCTATAACACACCTTGGGCACTGGGGAGAGAATTCCTGCTCCCAGATAAAAAGGCAGGTGTGGAGCCACGTGCCAGCCCCGCGCTCCCCAGAGCGGGAGGGACGCGGAGTTGCCCGGCTCCGGAGCCTGGCCAGGAGGTGTTGGATCGGCCAGACACAAAGCCAAGCCCAACCACACAGAGCCCAGCTCCTCACTGCTCCCACAGCATCCCACGGGGAGCAGGACACCCGCTCCTGCCCCCTCCCACCAGCCCCGGCCCTGCTTCCCGACCTTTCCAACACAGAGTCCAAAACAACCTCACCCCCCAAATACTTGCACGGACCGGCCTCAGTGTGAGAAAAGCCTTTTGCTTCCTCCCCCTTGCCCCTTTCTCCCCTATTTCCCCCCCCCCAAAAATCAGGATTTGCTTCCAATCACGATTTGTTTCGAGCCCCTCCTGGCAAGAGCAAAGCCCCCCCAGCTCTCACTGCTCTGTGAGGCAGAGGGAGCACCAACGGGCCTGGCTGGGAGGTGGGAGAGGGGAGCAGAGCCCTGGCCCTCCCCTGAGGCAGTGCCACACCTGGGAGTGACGCCACAGGTGACACCACGGAGGGGAGGACGCGGCTCCCCGAGGGACACGACCTGCTCCGCTCCCAAAAGCGGCCCTGACTCCTCTCTGGAGCAACACACCTGAGCTGCCTCCTGCCCCTCACCCACGGGTGAGGGAACTACAGAGGCCACGGACACCTCATCGGAATCACATCCTCAAATCACTGGCAAAACTGGTTATTAAAAAGGTCAAACTTTATTGTGAAAACCAGTAGTCTTCCAGGACCACCCCTCCACCCGTATCCATCAGTCCACTTTGAAAACTAGATTGTATTGAAATCCAGGAGGAAAAAAAAAAAAAAAAAAAAAAAAAAAAAAAAAAAAAAAAAAAAAAAAGCAAAACCAAAAACAATCTTCAGGTAAATTTGTAAAGCCAAGCTGATTTGGGGACAGCAAATCATTCCAAAAAGAGTTATCAACAGAGAACAACGGCATGGAATTCCATCTGCTCTACAGTAACCTAGTTATCTTCCAGGACTAGGGCAACAACAACAGAAAAAAAAAATAATTAAAAAAAATAAAAAAAAAATAAAAAGCACGATCACAACTGGCTCGTGGTGGGCGGGTGTTGAAGGCACGAGAACACAGCACGTTCAGCTACATTGCAGGAGGTGGGATCGGGCCAAAACAGGCTCCCCGGAGAGTCTGAGACAAACCCAGGAGGCGCTTCTACAACTGGGTGAGGTCGTCACAGGCTGTGGCTAATAAATTCAGAAAAATCAACAGAAACAAGAGACATGGAGACAATTTTACACTCACCTTCGGGCAAGGAAATCCGAGACTTCACCGACACAAGCACTGCTCTGAAACTCTCGCTACAAGGAGCAGCTCGGCCTCGGGAGCTGCTGCATTTCAGGGTTTCCGAACTGAACTCCAGGAAAAACCTGGTTTTATCTCACAACTGCCACTGTCCCTCCCTTCAGCTCTCACCAGCGTTTCAGTTCCTTTAAAAATCATCTCTGAGTGTTTATTTATTATTTTTTTTTATTCTCGAGAGGGCAGCAAGGGCATGGTGAAAAAATGCTCGGGGCAATCAAGATGGGAGAATCCACAGAGGTTCCTGTGCTATAAAAGACCCCTCCCTGGATGTGTCAGCTGCTTGCTGGGGGGGTGTTGAGAAGAACTGACCCTCCACACTTCCCTTTCATTTATGGGCAAACCCCCAAACCCTTTAATTAACCTTCACTGACCCATTCACAGCAGAGCACTAAAGGATTTTAGAGCGAATATTTGCACGTTCTGCCTGTTTGGAGTTCAGACCTCCTGAGCAGCCCAGCACTTACCACAGGGAGGGGGACAGTTCAAAACCCGAGGCCTGAGCACACCCTATCATCTCCCCTCCTCCCAAGCTCTCGTTCCTCCTGGGAAAACGAGACCTCTCCCACTCCCACTCCCCCCAGGGACGCTTCAGCTCCTCAGACAACTGCGTGGCACTGGGAGCCACCACGTGAGAGGTTCATCCATTTACCTGAGCTCTCCTCCGGGTGCCTGGGCGGGGTTTTCCGGGGCGCTCGCTGCTCGCTGCTCTTCTCCCCGTTGCTCTCCTCCAGGGATGGGATCCCGGGCTCCTGGCTCTTCATGAGCTGACTCAGCAGAACCGCCAGCACGTTCTGCATGTCTCCCTGAGCGCTGGCTGCGTCCGGAGTCTGCTGCTCCTCCGGCACCTCCGGAGGGGGCTCCTCTATGGCTTCCTCTGGCGGCGCCGCCGGGGGCTCGTGGTGCTGCGCCGTGGCCTCGGTCAGCGCCGTGATGGACTGGTTGAGGGCCTCCAGCTGCTGCTGCATCTCGGGGTTCGAGTGCACGTTCAGGAGCTGGGCCATCTGCGGCACGCTCAGGTCGGTCTGGCTCTGCAGCAGGTTCAGGAGCACGGCCAGCTCGCTCTGGTTCAGCTGCTGGGTGATGTCCCCGAGGCCTGCGGGACACGCCGGGAGGGGAGGAGAGGGGAGCGTCACTGCCAGGGGGGGTTTGGGGTCCTGGTGCTGCACAGGGAAATGGACACCCCCTCCCCATGGCCCACAGCAAGGAATCCCCCTTCCCCACATCCCACAGCACTGAACATCCCCCTTCTCCCCGTGCCCAGGCTGGGGGAAGGCAGGGAGGCTCCAGGAGGAGGAGGAGGGTTCCAGGCTATCCTGCTGGCACTGCCACGGCACGGCAGCAGCACCCCGTGGTGCTGGGCACACACTGCACTCCCCGAGCTGCTGCTGCTGCCTCCCTGCCCCTCTGACCTCTCAGCCACCACAGCACACGGGGCTGCTGCCAAAACCTCAGCCCAGCTGAGCCAAACCTCCCCGCTCCTGGGTTTGGGAAGCCAGGGCATCCCAAGGATACCGCGCTAGGGCAGTGGGTGATGACGATGGAAGGCCCAAAGCCACATCAGAGCAATCAGAGCAGCTCAGCCCCTCCCCAGGTCCCCACGGATCAGTCACCCCCTCCTGCATGGGAAGCAGGTTTCCCAGGATGGAGCAGAGCTGCAGTTTGGGATGCAGGAAGGGCGTGTTCAGTGACACAGCAGAAGGAATTAGGTCAAGCAAGAGGCAGTTCCTGGCCTGGGATCACAGGGTTCTGTCCTGACCTGCAAGGATCCAGGTTATCCTAAAATACATCCCTGGAGTGGCACCACCTCCCTCTGCAGCCCACTGGAGTGACAAGTGACAAGGGTGCCCCTTCACACTGACACTGGAACTTTTTGGGAATAAGGGTGCCAGGGTTTGGTTTCAGAAGCTTAAACTGGAGCTCCTCTCGCTGGTGGGGAACGAGGAACGTGACGCTCTTTTCCCAGCTGTTTGTTAATCCAAGCACCACCTTTTGTCCATCTGCCATGTTTCACTGAACACATGGATTGTGCATTCCCTGGAGCAAGAACTGTCTTCCTCATTACTTGTCAGCACAGCATTGGACACAAAGGAAGCTTCAGCCCCCCTATCTGGGTTTTTATAAGGTTTCTACAGAACAATCAGGGCAGCTTTGTGTAACTCCACATTCCCAGGAATCAAAATACCTCCCCTCCAACTATTTTCTAGGCACAGGGAGGTTGGTCACGGGTTGGAACAGCGCACAAGTTCTGGTCCTGCAAGTCTTGATGACCTTTTCTGCAGTAAAGTGCAATATTGTACATTTTTGCATGTACCCCACACCTAATCTTCATATAATTTGATCAGCAAGATCAAACCTCAGCTCCTTTGCACACCCTGGATATGGCTGCACCTTCCAGCCTGTGATCTGTTCCTTGCCTGGCTTAAGTGACTCAGTGACTCCTTTCATCATTCAGCCCCTTTCAGAACTAATAACACAGCTCAGAACAAATTCACACTCAGCTCATCAGTGACTTCTGAAGACCAGACAGAACCCTCTGCGCCTCCACAGCAGAGAGGGGATGAAAAAAAAAACAAAAAAGAAGGGAAGAAATGAGGACAGGAAGAGTCTGGAATGCCCTTTCTGCAGAAATAGAGGTGAAAGAACCAGCCTGGCTCAAAAACCAGACACAAACCTCCCACACCCAGGGAGGGAACACACCGGGAGCCTTCTCCAGAGCAAAGTGGGCACTGACCTACTGCATCTGCAGCCCCTGGCTCTGCTTTGAGCTGGGCAGGCTGGGGGGGCACAGGACTGCTGTTGTTTTTCACAGTGTCTGTGCTTGTAACAGAGGTAGTTTCTTTCCGAGAAACTTTTGACACCGGAGGCTCCTCCACGGCCATCCCGCTCTGCCGCTGCCGCCGGCGCTTCTTGCTCCACAGCTCGTGGCAATCCTGCCAGTGGGGGAGGCTGGAAGGGAACACTGGCCAGTGAGAAACACGCCTGGGAAACCAGGGCAGTCCCCAGAACCCACAGGGAAACTGTTGGGAGCTTTAAGAGAAGCACAGGTGAGGTCCAGAGAAGCTGCGGCTGCCCCGGCCCTGGGAGAGTCCAAGGGCGGGTTGGACCTGGCCTGGACACCTCAACTCCTGTCCTGGGAAGGGCTCAAGGTCAGGGTGGACAGGGTTGGATCTGGGATAGTGGGAGGTGGCCCTGCAGGGGGGGTTGGAACTATATGGACTTTAAGCTCCCTCCTACCCCAAACCATTCCATGACTCTGTGTTCCCCTGACTGCAGCCAAACCCAGACGGGGCAAGTCCTAGAAACAGGAAAGGCAGCCTAATTACAGGGAATTAATTTAATTTGCACTGGGATCTCATCCCTGAGCAGCCTGGGATCTCACACAAACCCCAGTGAGGGCAAGTGCACCAAGCTCTGAGGGTCTGGGGGCTCTAAGAAAGGCCCTGCCTTGAGCAGCTCTGAGGGAAACAGGAATTCTGTGGCTGGACTTGCACACAAACCAGCCTGAGTTTTATCATCTGCTTGACTGGAGTGGGAGGAAATTGCTGCAGTGTGACACTGCTCAACTCTTCCACTCAATTAACACACAGCCTTAACGAGGCCTGACCGGTTCTCCACGGCACAGAGACAGGGATGTGCTACATCCCACTCTTGCACAACTTCCAGAGTTTCAGAGCATCTTACAAGCATTAAAGTGGGCTTTGTAAAACCAGGCTGTTATCAGGCAGAAATCCAACAGCATGGGAAGAGCGATTTGCTCAACCACAAGACAAAATGCCGGGGCAGAGTAGAGAAAAGAGCCCAGAAATCATAATTTTGACTGAAAAAAAAAAACAACCTTGTTTCCTCCCCCCCCCAGCAGAGAGCCCACGGCTGTGGTAGCTGGGACTTACTCAGGAGGTGCCATCTTGCTGAGGTCAACGTCCTTCAGGAAGTCACTGTGCAGGGCCTGCTCTGCTGTGCAGCGTTTGCCAGGGTCCAGAGTCAGCATGTGGTCCAGCAGGTCCAGAGCAGACGAGGGAATGCTGGGGAGAGAGTGGGAAACACGCAGGAGTCAAGGGGGAACACGTGGAGAGGCCCCTTCCAGAGAGACCCCCTCAGGCCTGAGAGGAATCCACACAGCCAAGGTTTATGACTCGTGATGCAGCAGTTGGAGCTGTGCCAGGGCAGGGTCAGGGTGGGTATCAGGGAAAGGTTCTCTCCCCAGAGGGTGGTGGGCACTGAACAGGCTCCCCAGGGCAGTGGGCACAGCCCCAAGGCTGCCAGAGCTCCAGGAGGGTTTGGACAATGTTCTGAGGGATGGGGTGGGACTTGATCCTTGGGGGTCCCTCCCCACCCAGGAGATTCCATGGTATTTTCACTTTAATTTTTGCCATTTTTGAAGAGCAACTGTGCTACCAATCCCACAGGGTTACCCCACAGTCAGACTCTCCCCAGAGAACACCTCCCTGACGTCAGACCGTGAGGGTGCCCCACTGCCCCACTCCCACAGGGAATCCCTCCAAAGGCACCTGAGCCACATCAGGTGCTGAGGGAGGGGACAGTGACCCCACCTCAGCCTTCCCCAGGGGACAAGAAGCTCCACAAACCACATCCAGAGGAGAAGAGGGGAGTCACAGAGGCCATGACTCCCTCCCAGCCCACTCACAAGGAGAACTCCTCGCGCAGGCGCCGCCGGTATTGCTTCTTGGGCTTCATAGTGTTGAAGTAGGGCAGCTTGATCACATCTGGCCACACAGCTGGGCAGGGGCTCCCACAGAGCCGGCTGGCAAGCAGGACAGCAGGGTCAGTCAGGTGGGACACAGGGGAGGAGAGCCCAACCCCAGAGAAAGCTCCTTCCTAAGCAACAATAACCTCCTTCCTGCAGCAAGAACCACGGGCTGGGCACGGCTCGGTGAGGTGAAAAGAAAGGAGGTAGCGGGAAGAGGGAAATGCTGAGCTTGAGCTTACAAACCACCCAACGTGGTGAATTTGTCTTTTTTCTTACTCTAAGTTTTAACATTTTAACATTTCTTACTTAAAATTTTAAGAATTTACTAACTTTTATTATCTTTACTATAAGGCACAGGGTGCCCAGAGAAGCTGTGGCTGCCCCTGGATCCCTGGAAATGTCCAAGGCCAGGCTGGACAGGGCTTGGAGTAACCTGGGCTAGTGGAAGATGCCCCTGCCCATGGCAGGGGGTGGGGACTGGATGAGATTTAAGGCCCCTCCCAACACGAACCAGTCTGTGATTCTAATTCATGATTTTTGTACTCAGCTCACAGCGAGGTTCACTGAGGGCACACAGATGAAAAGCCACACACCTGATGGGGGTGTGGACACCTGACTACTCCCACTTGGCAGCTCCAGCCACTTCTGGCCCTGTTTTGCAGGCAGGGGGAGAGGAGAAGGGCTCCTCTAACACACAGCCTGCGTGCAGGAGCTGCTCCTGCAGTGCCTCCTCTCACAGACATGCACGTGCAACGCTTTACCTGATTAATTCAAGCTGAGCCAGTTCCAGATTGGCTTGAAAAATAGGCTTCTTTGTAAACAGTTCCCCGAGGATACAGCTGGGAAGAGGAAAAGCAAGAGGTCACGACAGCAAACCCTGGGGAGGAGCGTTTGAACAGCGCAGGGTTCCTGCTGTGCCCGAGGAGGGTGATTTGCATCAGGGCTTGTAGTTGAGCACTGACAGACTGACCTGTGTGTACAGAACCCCCCGTCCTGGGCTCCTGGGGAATCACCTCCCCTGCAAGAGGCTGCTTAATGCAGGAAGCCCTTGGTGTGTTAACTCTTTGCAGGGACAGGGGGATGTGTCTGTGTGGCAAGGGAAAGAGGCAGAGGGGGGATCTCCTTTCCTCCAGATTCGGCTTCCAAACCTCACTGTGCTGCCCCAAACCATCCTCAACTGCCCCAGCCTGGGTGTCCTTGGATGTGGACTTGTGTGGACACAGCACTGGCACAGCTGGGAAAGAGGAGGAGGAGGAGGGAGGGCACAGCTCTGCCTCCTTCAGGCCCCAACATCCCTCAAGCCACCAGAAATCAGTGCCAAAAACAGCAGAGGGGGACACAGGGCTCTGCCTGCTGGAACAGGGACAACCCCTCTCGTGGCCCAGGACACTGAGCAGCAACTGGACCTCACAGCCAGAACTCCCAGCAGGAATCAGGATTAATTGCTGGCTTTCACATCCCTCTGTTTGTGTTCTAAGCTCTGCTGAAGTTCAGCTGAAGTGTCCACATTTTGGGCAGTCCAGCCTCACTCACATATAATATATTATTTAAATATAATATTTTAAATACAAACATATACTAATATTAGTCTGCAGTATCATTGCTTATATTAATAATAAGTAAATTTAAATCTAGTTAAAGTATTTCACATGTGATTACAAAATTATTGAGGCTTAAAACAACATTTTTAAAAAATATTTTTAAAACAGCAACCTGTGCACGGCTGGGACAGATCCAGCTGCAGGAATGAGCCCAGATTCCCTGGGAAATGCTCCTGGAGCTGCTGCCCAGAGGCAGGAGATGACTCACCCACAGCTCCACACGTCGATGGCAGGGGTGTAACGCTCCTCCCCCAGCAGCAGCTCCGGGGGTCGGTACCACAAGGTAATCACTTTGTTGGTGTAGGGCCGGCTGGAAGGCAAAACATAAGCAGAAAACTGATGGCAGGAGCCACAAAACCCTTCCAAAGTGTTTTGTTTTCACTGCCCAGCTGCAGAGGTCCACATGTACCAGCAGCAGCAGGGGCATTTCAGGTGTCCCCACTTCCAGAGCACCGGCCTGAGTTAAAGGAGGTACCACGGGTTTTAAAGGTCTCAGGGCTTGAGTTGTAGGTACCCAAGACTGAATTCCTGCCCCTCAGGAGGCTGGATGTGCTGCCATCACTGAATAGTGACTGATCTGGGAGCCAAACAATCTCCAAGGCAAACAGAAAAGTTGTTCTGGCTCCTCAGCATCTGGGTTTATAAGGAAGAGTTATCAGTGCCAGCCAGGGGCGTATTTGTCCAACAGCTGGAGCTGGATTATTCACTGGAAATCATCTCTGGGGACTTCCAAGCACAGGGATCTCATGGATGTCCAGAAGGAAGGAACCCACCCCCCTGTATAAGCCCTGTCCCCTCCTCACCTCTCCTCCGAGCTGTAGAGTCGGGCGAGTCCAAAGTCTGCGAGTTTGATTTGCCCACTGGAAGAGAAAAAAAACAACCAAGCCCTGCTTTGAATCCCAGCTGGACTCGAGCAGTTAAACCACAGAACCCACTGAGCTGGAAGGGACCCATGGGGATCAGAGCCCTACTCCTGTCCAAGGGGATGGAACCCACCCCCCATGGAGCAGAAAGGCCTCCCAAAGCCACGTGTGCAGGAACCACTGCTGGATATGCCAAGTCTTAAATTTTCCAGATTGGATTTAATGCTTTGAAGAAGTTAAAACCAGAAAAAAACCCCAACAAAACAACCCAGCAATAATTCAGCATCATCTGTACTACAAACCCTTCCCACCAGGCCGATATCCCAGAGGAATTCTGCAGGTGGATATCCAGCCATGGGGTTGGAACTACGGATTATTCCCACCCCTCCTGCCCCCGAGCACAGCCAAGGTGAGGACCAAGTGTCCTCTTCAGGGAAGGGCTTGGGGAGAGGTGGATCCACTCCCAGGTTACCTGTTGTTCAACAGGATGTTGGAGCACTTAATGTCTCGATGAAGGAAGTTCTTTTTGTGACAATAGTCCAGACCCTCCATTAACTGTTTCATGAAAGACTTGATATGGTCCTCTGAGAAATGTACCAAGCCAGATTCTAGCAGCCCCATTAGGTCATGGTCCATGTACTCAAACACAAGGTAAAAGGCACCTGGGATAAGAAACACAGAAATGACTGAAGAGCAGAAACACAAAAAAGGAGGAATAGAAGTGGATTCAGTTGTTTAAAGTCTTTTCTGTGCACTGTTCTCTTTCTTTAACAGTTTTGGGGTGTTTAGTGCTTGAAGGTCCTACATGACTTTTTTTCCCCCTCTTAAAGTGTCAAAAAACAACACAAAACCAACTAAGTAGCCCCTCCAAGCTGACATCTGAAATTAAATATGCCCCTCAAATAAATTCCTGAGATCCTGGCCACGTTTACCCACCTGCTTTGGTTGTTTCCCTTCAAGAGAGTTTGTTGAGGAGATCACTGCTATGCATGGTTTGAACTCGTGTTTGTGTTGCTCCCTTCTCTCCCATGGAAGAGAAAGTCCCAGACAAGAGCCAGTGGGATTCCAAAACACTCTCCTTCCACAGTGAGGGAGGACACAAGACTTTCCACACTATGAGTAAGTTTTTTGCCTCCAATCAGTGTTAGAAGTAACCCTGTAAAGGCCTTTTTTTTGTTAAAGCCTCTTCATCTGTGACTCTGCAGGAATGCAGTCATCCTTCTAGTGCCACAACTCCCTTTAACTGGGACCTACCCTCTGAGGAAAGGCCCAGCCCAGCTGCCAAACTCCCTGGAGCTGCTTACAGAGGAGGAACACAAAACCAAGCAAAGCCACCCAAAGAGCTCAGATTTTGAGCTCTGCACTAAACCAAGGGGCTGCACCCCACACACGTGGCTGCTGTGGAGAAACCACCCCCCCTTGGAGCAAAGCAGTACCTTTGTCCTTCTTGAAATCCAGTGCATCTTGTTTGTCCGTGACGATCTCCTTCATGTTGACGACGCTGCGGTGGATGAGCTGCCGCAGGATTTTGATCTCCCGGATGGCCGTGATGGGAAATCCCTCCTTCTCGTTGTCCAGGCGCACCTTCTTCAGGGCCACCAGCTCACCTGGCCACAGCACACGCCTGGGTCACGCCCTGCCCTCCTCCCCAGCCCTCCCTGGGGCTCCAGGGAAGCTGGAAGGAGCCACGAGCACGAACACCCACCAAGGGCGGCAGAGGCAGCTTTAGTTACCCCCCTAAATTCAGGTAAATTGCTCTGTCAGCTTGGACTGATGAGACCTGTGCTCCTCCTAAGGTGCCCCAGCAGGAAGTCACACAGGGGAACACAAATTTACCCTGGAATTTCCCCATATTCTCTGCCACACTCATGTCTGACACAGTCCCACCTAAAAAGCAGGGTTTAATCGGCACCTGTGGCTGCCACAACCACCTGACCAGGGGTCAAACCGCACACCCAGGGCATGGGATCTCACAGGCAGAGTGGGCAGCTGGGCATCAACTCAGGATTGCAGAGCTCCTGGAAGCGCCCTCTAGAAGTGCCTGTTCCAGGAGCCATTTCTAGTTCTACAGGTGTTTAAACCCAACCAGCCACCCCGGGAGGGGTGCTGAGCACACCCACAGCAACACGGACTTCTCCGGGTGGAATTCACCTGGAGCCCCTCTGTGCCCACCCTTACCCGTGCCCACCCTTACCCGTGCCCACCCTTACCCGTGTCCTTGTCCTTGGCTTTGTAGACCTGCCCGTAGGTGCCCTCTCCGATAATCCCAATGATGTCAAACTTGTCCACACAGCGCTTGCCCCAGTCGCTCTCCGTCTGCCTCCTCTCCCCGTACCGAGGACAACAGATTCTGGGAGAGGGAACAGGCCTGTGAGACACCACCCCAGTGTCACCCCAGTGTCACCTGCTGGACTGCCAAACCCACCCCTAAGGCCCAAAGGCAGAGCTCAGCAACGATGGCTTCGTGCTCCCAAGAATTTTGGTGTTTGGGGCAGTTCAGTGAATTTTGTTGTATTATCCCAAACTATTGCAGGTACAGGCACTGCTGGGCAGGAATATTGTCCTGGAGAGCATTACTGTGCTACAGCAGGACAGAAAACAATGTTTGGGCATTTGATTTTTATTTGTAATGCTCTGTACAGAACACCAGGAGAATTTGCTGCCTCGACAACTGCTTGAATTCTGTTATTGGGAAGTTCTCCATGCCTGGAACACAGAATCATGGAATGGTTTGGGTTGGAAAGGACTTTAAAAAGCCCATCCAGTCCCACCCCCTGCTATAGGCAGGGACACCTTCCACTAGCCCAGGTTGCTCCAAGCCCTGTCCAACCTGGCCTTGGACACTTCCAGGGATGGGGAATCCCACAGCTGCTCTGGGCAACCTGTGCCAGGGCAGTTCCATCACCAACACTTCCATCATGAAATGCAGCAAGAAAACAAGGACACCTCCCATCTGGAATAACCAACTCCTAAAAGCACCACGAGCTTTAGACATGAGTGCTCACGAGGAGGTTTCCTGGGACTGTGGGCACAGCTGAATCAAAGGTGAAAGAGCTTTTGGGGTAGATGTGGCTGGAGATTGAACACTCCAGTAATTCTACCATTAATTCTCAAATAAACGAGGGTCTAAATGCGACCCAACCCACAGGAAACGGTGTTTATACGAGAAAACACAGAAATAGGAACCTGTCACCTCCCCATCTCACTTCCCTCAGTAAAGAGCTCTCACACCACTAAAAAAAGAAAACAGTAAACAACCAAGCCAGGCTTACTTTGGTCTCTTTTTGAAGGGTTGCTGAGGTGGTGTGGCTGCCTTTGGTTCCGGGGAGTCGGGAGGAGAGGGGTCCCCCCCGGGGAGCTCCGGGGGGAGCGGGAGGTCCGTGAGGAGGTGGCGTGGTCTCTGCTCTCTGTCCTTCTTCACAGGCTTCGGAGGGAGGATCTCCTTTGGACTAAACTCCGGAAAGTTAAATCAACACACAAGTCAGACTCGACAGCCGGGAAAAAGCTGCTGCAGGAAGACAGCTCTGCTTTGACAACCACAAGTGTCAGAATCAGCAGTCAATAAAACAGCCTTAAAATTTACAGTGCCCGTTACAACAGGAGAGAAGAGTGTGAGAGCTGAACACACAGGTCTGCACTGGGACTCGCTCCACCTGCACAGATCAGTAGTCATTTGGAGCTTCCTGTGAGGCAGCTCAGAGCATCAGTCAGAACCCACCTTCTGACCTTCACTTCCCCCTGTTTTACTTCACTTGTCATCACCAAATTAAATGCATGACTCGGTAAGGACTAGACAGAAATGCAGACCCAGAGCTAAACCTCTCTCCAAAAGCAACTTTTAACTTCACAGCAAGGACTGAAACGCGGCTTTAACTCCTGAACGCTGCTAAGAAACCAAAAGTTAATTTTTTTGTTTTTAAATCCAGTTCCCAGTGGCATCAGAAGGTTTGGTTTAGACTGGCAAGAGTCACGTGAGCAGAAAGAACCCACTTTGTCCCTCGTGTCCCCAGCAAGGAGCATTCCTGGGTTTGACCAGTCAGGAATTCTCCATGCAAACCTCTGCTTCATCACAAGAAGATGAAGGGATCCAAACAACCAGCTGTGTTTTTAGGGCAGGAGCAGGTTTGGTGTTTGTCAGCACCATCAGCCCTGACACTTCAGCACAGATGAAGTGATGGAAGTAGGTCATTTCCCCAATTATTTTATTAGACTCTGTCTAATCTGCATGACAAGCTCTTGTGAAACCGAGTTCGGGGAGGAGGAAGACCAGAAACACCTGAAGTGGGAGAGCTGGACAGGCTGAAACTCTCCCCCCACTGACTGCAAATTCCTGAGGAGCAGAAAAACAGTGTTTAAATACCTGCTGTATAGAAAACCATGGAATTGTTTAACTGGAAAAGCCCTCTAAGATCAAATCAAACCATCAGCGCTGTCACATTCACCACCAAACCACACCTCAAAGGCTCAGCCTTTTTCCAACACCCCTCAAAAGCCACTTCTTTGCAAGACCTTGGATGGTGGAGGTGTGTCTGTAGAGTCTGTCTGGCCTTTCAGGAGGCCCCTTCTCCCAAAAAATGCCCATTTTTTCCATTATCCCTGCTCAGCTCCCTTCTTGTACCTCCAGAGCAGGACACCAAACCCACACAGAGTTTGCACCACTTCCTCCTCAACAGCTTTTCCTGCTCTCCTGGTGAATCACCTGGACTGCTGAGAGCTCTAAAAGCACTGCAGGAGGTGCTAAGTCTGCAGAGTCTCTAATTGAACGAGGTGTGTTTTCTCCTTGGACACTTCCAAGCCCTTTCCCAACCCTGTGCTCGGGGCTGGAACGTTCCCCAGGCTCAGCAAGGCCAACAAAAGCCCAGCTCAGGAAGTTTTGCCCATAAATACAAAGGCAGGTGGTGAAGGGGGAGATTCTGCACAGTCAGGGCCGTAGGGAACTGCCACCAGACTCAGCAAAACGGGATTTCCCACCTTTTTATTGGGAAAAAGTCACATAAAGCCACTCCCTGGGCTTTGCTCCATCCCCCTCATCACCCCCAGCCCTGGGGTCAGGGATGAAACAAAACTCAGCCACACCTGGGGGGTAAAAAAAGAGCTCTGGGTGTAAGTGGCTAAAAAAAAAAAAAAAAAATCCATTAGAGATTTGCAGGACAACTTTTGGGTTTGGAAATGAGGGAATTCACAGCAGGATTTGCTCTGACTGGCATTTGGGTTGGGAAAACCTGTTCAGAGCTCCTGCTCATCACAGAGACGTTTAAACTCAGTAATATTTGCTGAACAACAGCTCAGAGAGGGCAACAACCGCACTTTTAGGTGGGTGGCAGAGGGAACGTTTCCCTGATTGGCATCAACACCAGGATAACCCCTGAAAATCAATTCCACAATCAGAAAATGTAACATGAGGAGTTCACCACAGGGTGATTGTATCGAGTCAGGAGCTGACTGCCCAAAACCCAGCACACCTTTAGTGGTTGGGAAGACACAGCAGCTTTCAGGGAACTACAGGCTGAGCAAGTCCAGTAGGAAAAAAAGAATAAATACATATCACTTATGAGCTTGAGTTAACAGCACTACAGCACACCGACAGCTAGAAGGGAGAGAAAGGAAATATAAATATCTGGGGTTCTTCTTTTCCATCTGCATTTTGGTTTTTCTGTTCCTTTCCCCTCTTCCCCTCACCAAAAAAAAAAAGCCCCACAGTGAGGTTTTCCAGATGAGTCCATCACAGAAGCCACGACCACCCCCAGCCCAGGCAGAGCTCCAGTTACAGGACAGAGCCAAGCCTGCATGCTTTGATCAGGAATTACAGGAAATCAAGTTGAAGTAGGTGCAGTTTCACTCATTTTTAAACAACACCTACTTCTCAAGCAATAAAGGATTGTGTTGATGACTCAATAATTAGGACAATACTTCAGTTCAACCAGTGCTGGTTTTACCCCTGGGCATGGCCTGCAGGGTTGGTGAACTGGGAACAGAAAAAGCTCTGGACTGGAAGTGTTAAGCTCTTCCTGCTCCTTAAGTACAAGTTTTGGAGGAATCAAACAAAAAAACCCAGCAATTTTAAGAAGTAAAGTCTGTGCAAACAGCTGCAACATCCCAGATCCGTGTTCCATTCCTGCAATAAATACAAACAAAGAGGGAAACCTTGACTAAGCAGCAGCCAAACTCCTGTTTCCCACAGGGAGGAAGAGGTAACTACCTGCATGGGATCATCAAACTCTCCACACAAACCTGCTGGAGCGGCCTTGGGATAACACATTGACACCAGTGACAGCTGCACCCTTGCAGGGTGAGCTCCCAACTGTCCAACTCCCCCAGAAACCCCTCGTTATTTCAAGGCAAAGGGGACGCTCTGGCGTGACCTTACCTATCCAAGTCATCTTCCCCAACTAAAATAGGGGGCAGCGGAAGCGGAGGCAAGGTGGAAGTTTTCAGGTGTGGGATAGCAGCCGTCACAGACACTTGGGTTTTTGTAGCCACCTGCACAGAGGACTGGGAGTTCACCTGAGAGGATAAAGTAGACGTCCTTGGGTGGGAGGAGGATGGCAAAGACGTTGGGGCCGGAGGAGGGGCCTGCACAGGAGTCACTTGGGCTGGAGGCAAAGGCGGCACGGCGGGAGACGGAGGCAAAGGCGGCAGCGGCGGAGTGGGAGGTGGAGGGGTGGTGGTGGGCAGGGGCGGAGGGGGACTTGATCGAGGGCAGGGGGGGCGGTGGGATCTCCTTCTCCGCTGTGTCTGTCTCCTTTGGAGATACCAGGTCCTCCGCCGCCGCTCCGGCCTTGGAGTCCTTTGTTCCCGAGGGTTTGGAGTCCCGAGCCGGGAGGGGATGTTTGCGCTCCGCGTTCTCCTCCGGCCGGGCCCTGGCGGGCTCGGCGGGGCCCTTGGGCTCGGCGTTGCTGTGCAGTAAATTCACCGACTCGGGCTCTGGCGGAGCTTTCTCCAACTTAGCAGTTTTGGTGGCCTTTTTAGACTCCGATCCAGCCTCCTTCAGCTCGGCCAGGCTGTTCTCCTTCCTGGCCAGGAACACCGGCGAGCCCTTCGCCTCCTTGCCGTCCACCTTGGCCGCAGCCGCCGCCGCGGCCGCTCGCTCCTTCTTCTTCCTGCTGAGCTCCGCTCCCAGGCTGGAGTTCAGCGGGAGCCTGCTGGGGGAGATGCTGGAATGGCGGCTGCGGGACCCAGACCTCTGCTTCTTGCTGTGAGATGAGTGCCTCGAGTAGCCAGGGCTGCGGCTCCGGGACTTCACGGATTTCCTGGGGGGGAGAGAGAGACACGAAACGAAGCTTCTGTCACACTCTGAGCTACTCATCAACCACTGAAGGGTTGGGCAGGTCAGAGGGTCCTCAAAGCCTGTCAGGAGAGGTTAAAACTGCTGCAAGGGGTTTATTGAGTCAATCAGGAGCAGTTTCCCAGCCTTCCTGGGCCAGCACTGCCCTCACCATCACACCGGTAACACAGAAACGAAGGACCAAGGCTGGACAACCCCCAAGGAAAAGAGGAGATCACGGAACCATCCTCAGTCCAGAGGATGAGCTGGCAGTTTAGGGATCTTTCACAGGGATTAGGTACAACTTTAAAGGAAATAACGGATAAAACAAGACCCAATCTGCCTCAGGAAATCACACACTTCGAGTTCATTTCCCCCTCCCGCCCCGGTTCTTTTGCTGCCGTCAGAACTCGGATTTGCAAAGTGTGATTTGGGAGAAAGGAAAAAAAAAAAATCAGCAGTTTTTCTGAGGTCTTGGTCTTACTGTACAATAAACGGGCTCTAAGTCAGGTATTGCTGCAGAAATAATCGCTGAAAGCCTGTGCTGTGAGCCAAGCAAGGCAGGGAACACCTCACACCATCAGGGGGAACCTGCTCAGGAGAGAGAGCAGCCACCACCAGCTCGGGGGAGACCCAGGGGGAAACCAGACAAAAAAAAAATAAAATGCAAGTGGGAAACTGGAACTTCCAGAGTCCACATCAAAATTCCTGATGAGCCAGAAGCGCTTCCTCTGCTCCAGCAGGAACGAGGATTGGACAGCTGAGACAGCGGGTTTGATGAGACAGGAAAACCAAACAGTGTGAGAGCAGACACTCCAAACGCTGCAGCAGACACAACACTCCGTGATTACTCAGGGCATGTTTGGAAAACATGGAATTCTCCCAGAACGCAGTCCCACAGCACCTACAAAACACACACCTCATCCCAAACAGGTCCAAACCTGGGTGGCTGCACCGCTAACAGCGAGGTCTGAACTCTTTGTGGGGCCACACAAATTAACACAGAGCTCCTGGTTCATCACCACAAACAGCTGCCAGGATGGACAGCTGTGACTGGGGGGAGATGTCAAGGATCGGCATTCCTCTCCTTCTCTCTCTCTCTCCAACCCCAGGGCTGCACAGGCAAGTCCTCACCTTTAAACTCACAAAATGAACCACAAGGAGGAAAAAGTGGGATCTAAAGCCACTCAGCTGGTTTTGCCTCTCCATCACACCAGGAGTTCTGCCTCAGGATTGCCTCTTTTTCCAAGTTTTTCTTTAGTCTGGGACACAGTTCACCTGCCACCAGGAGCATGGGAGAGCATTTCACCACGCTCCAAGACATCTGGGGCTGAGGAAAACATTCCTAAGGAACCCTGTGGGACCACAGTCAGTTGGGGGTTGGCATTCCCTTCCAGGATGGGCTGTTTAAGGCGCTGCAAGACTCCATTTCTTGCTCCTTGTTTCCCACCCTCCCTCACCATTAACCTCTAATCCATGGAATGGGTTGGAAAGGACCTTAAAGCCCATCCAGTCCCAGCCCATTCCAGGGGCAGGACAGGACACCTTCCAGCTGTTGTTTCCAAGCCCATTTTCCAGGCTGGTGTTCACAGCTGCTTTGTCAGACCTGAAAAAGCCCCCACATCCCGAAGCATTCCTGCTTTCCCGGCTCCACCAACGCCCCCAGGAACACACCACTCCAACAAAACCTCATCTCCCATCACTGGACCATCAGCAGCCCCAAAAAGCACCAATACCCAGCACCCATAGCACCTGCTGAGGGGCCTTTTATCACTGGGTGTCTCCAAACAGATCCAAAAGGGGGTACACAAGGCACACAGGTAGGTTTGGCTTCTGGATGAGAACCCTTTCCATCCTCTGGAATGGGGTTTTTTTTTGGTGGATTTTTGCCTGCAGCCACTTGTTAGCACTTTTAGCCCTTTCACCCTTTAATGTGTGTTAAGAGGACTCCACACCTTATTTGCTTTGCCAAAGATTATCCAGGATGGATAAGGGGCAATTCAGTGTCACGCGCAGATCCTGTGGATAAAAACGCCCTGGGATTAAAAAAACCACCTTGTTGTCCCTCTGGAAGTGGAAACCAGAAAGGGAAGATACCAACCACGAGGACTGGGAGCTAACACAGAGCTGGGGGTGGTGCCTCACCTTAAAAAAAAAAATCCAAATAAAAAGCATTATGAGGTTCATTTAACTCGCACAAGCAGAGGATTGGAGTGGCCTTTGGAGGAGGGGATGCTGGAACCTTCCAGACTCCCCATGCTGGGCCTGGCCGTGGTTAATGGGTGTTACAGAGGGAATCTGCAGTCAGGTGGCAGATTTGGCCCCACTGTTTCTTATTTTTTGGATGCCCAAGGACCTTCCACCACAGCAAGGACCCACATGGCACGGCCACTGCTAGGCTGAGCAGGCAGCACATCCCACCTCCAGCAGGCTGCAGGACTCTGGAATTCCATCTCCCTGTTTTAGCTGCAGTGACAACAGCCTCTACCCAGAATGGCAGAAAGCACATCTGTTATCTTCCCCTGCTGACCAAATCCTCGTTTCCTGCTCGATGGGAAGAGAGTTGTTTTCCCCTCTGGATTTTCTCCCATCAGCACATGGATTCAGTTCCCTAATGCCGTGTTTTGGATGTGGAGATGAAAGGAAATGCAGAATGCACTAAAAAAAAACAACCCCCCCCCTCACATTGTCAGTCAGTGAGTGTCCCAGAAAAGCCACAGTCAGGTGTTCAGGGCCCCAGTGTGCCACTTAAAGAGGTTTTTCTCTCCCAAAAATATTCCTGCCCCTCCACAGGAAGCAAGAGGAGGCACTGCCCCAAGGCAGCTGCCTCAGCACGAGGGGAGGGTAAACACTGAATAACCTCTGCAACCTTGGTTTGGTTTGGGGTCCAACGTTGAGTCAAAAGATGTCCTTAAAAAGGGGGGCTGGCAGTTCAGGGAAGCTGCACAAAGTTGTTCCCTTAAATCAGGAAAATGTAACTGGATTTCAAACCTCAGAAGCAACCAACCATTTACAGGGAGTGAGCTCCAGGTTCTCCTGGGAAGTGGAGAAGGGCCTGGGGGAGGAAAACAGCTCTTGGGATCCCACTGCAGTTCCCAAGGGTTTCCCCCTGCTTAGGGCTGAACTGACATTTCTCAAGTGCCACAACACACAGTGACATCAATTTACAGACAAATCCTCCCACTGTATCCTTCCTCTTCCCAAATATTAGTAAATAAGGCGTCAGAGCAGCCAAAAGGATGGAGGGGAAGGAGGGGAAAACCCTCCAGGCCTATCCCTGAGGGCCTCCCAGGTGCACACAGGGAAAACAGGGCAGAGGAGCAGCAGCCTGGAATAAAGAGGGTTTACATCAGAGCTTCCAGAGGGGTAAAAGCACCCCAGGTCTCCCAGCAAGGACAAAAGGCAGCACTCCTGAAGGGAAGTTTTAGCGACAGAGACCGAATTCCAAGAGCTCTTTGGGAAGTGCTGATCTGGAGGGCAGGGCTGAGCATTCCTAAGGCCACCGCGTTCCAGGTCACATCTGAATTGCCATGGAGCTCCAGGCAAAGCTCCACAGCATCCATGGTGACAACTGGAAGCTCACTGAACACGGGCCAAGGCTAAGGGGGAAGAAAAAAAAGAATCAATGTTGGTCATGTAAGAGGATGATTAATGAGCATCTGAAATAAATCACAAGGAACTACCTTGAAGGGATCGTTTCCTTCTGGAGTAAAGTTGTGGAGTAAAGGAAAGAGGAGAGAAAATGATGAGTTAAAGCAAAATCCAGCTGGTTGCTCCTCGCCCTTCCAGAATGCCCAGATTCCAGAAGGGAAGGAAGAAACTGGGAAAGGAAAGTTTAGGCTGAGAGATGGGAGTTTGCACGAGGCCTCCTGTGATCCGAGGGGAAAGACAAGTCAAGAAAGAGTGAAATCCACCCAAAATGAGCTCTCCTGAGAAGTGGGATCAGTTCCCACATGGAATAAGCAGGTAAAGGCTTCCAGAAAGAGGTGAAACGGCTCCTCCCGGGCTGAGCTTCCCACCAGGTAAAGCGCCTTAGATCCCGCTCCGGAGCCCGGGGGCCACTCCAGAGGTGGGTGTAACTTAATCCCAGAGCTCATCCAGCCTCTCCCTGCCCGGAGCCAACATGGACGCTGCCTCCTGCCACGCTCCCAGGGATCTGGAACACACCATTCCAGGGGAACTGCCACCACCCCAACCAGAGCAGCTCCACACACACCGCTCCAAACTCAGCCCCAGTGGGGAGGAGGAGGGTGCATGGAATCATGGAATGGTTTGGGATGGAGGGGATCTTTGGAAACCATCCACTCCCACCCACCCCCTGCCATGGGCAGGGACACCTTCCACTGTCCAAGGCTGCTCCGACCTGGCCTTGGGCTCTTCCAGGGATCCAGGGGCAGCCACAGCTTCTCTGGCCAACCCGTGCCAGGGCCTCCCTGCCCTCCCAGGGGGGAATTCCTTCCCTACATCCAACCTAAACCTCCTCACTTTCAATGGGAATCCACTCCCCCTTGCCCTGCCACTCCACGCTCTTGGAAATAACCTTTCCCCACCTTTCCTGGAAGTTCCCCTCACTGAACTTCTCAAGAGCCAAAACCTGAGCGTTCCAACCGCTGGGATTCAGACCCAGACGGGACGCTCTGGAATTTTTCCCTAACACCCCACCTAAACCCCCCGCTCTTCCCGTACAAACCCATCTCCCGCAACTCCCTCCACAGGCATCCCCATCCCAACCCCGAGGAGGGCGGGAGAATCCCACGCACCTGGCGATGGGGCTCCTGCTGACGGAGCGCTTGGAGGCGAAGGGGCTGCTGGAGCGGCGGCGCCCGTAGGGGCTGGGGGACCTCCCGCCGTACGAGCCGCTGCCCCTCTCGTAGCTGGACGAGCGGCGGCGGCCGTAGGGGCTGAGGGAGCGCTGCCGCCGGCTGTAGGGGCTGGGCGAGCGGGCGTTGCACTGGTAGCCCACGGGCTCCTTGTAGGGCGGGCTGAGCGACTGGCGGCGGGAGGAACCGCCGGGGCTCTTCCTGTAGGGCTCGTAGGTGCTGGACGTGTGCGAGCGCGGCGGGCTCAGCTCGTACTCCTGCACGTAGGAGGCTCCCGAGGGGCTGTCGTCCAGCTTGGGGCTGTCCGACCACTTCCTGTGGGGGCTCCGCGACTTGCGCTTGGGGCTCTCGAGGGTTTTGTAGCTCTTGGGGGCGTCCCTTTTGCGGTGGCTCTTGCCGCGCTCCTTGTGGCTGGACTTGAGCTCCCGCTCCTTCCTGGACTTCTCCTTGTGCGCCTTGGCCGAGCGCGATTCCTTGTTGCTGCCCTTGGAGGAGGGAGCCTTGGGGTGCTCGTCGCTCTCCGGGAGCCTCTTGGAGGATCCCGAGACCCTCTCCTTGGCGGACCTGCCGGAGGCCTCCAGGCCCTTCTCCAGCTTCCTGTCCTTCTCCGCCTGCTTGCTGCTCTTCATCAGCTCCCGCAGCCGCTTGTGCTGGTGGTGCCGGTGCTTCTGCGCCCTCTCGCCGCGCTCCCTCCTGTCCTCGCTGTCCCTCCTGTCCGGCCGCAGGGCCACGTCGTCCGAGAAGGTGTCCGAGTCGGAGCTGATGTCGTCGTACTCCACCAGCGGCTTGATCACGGCTCCCAGGGGCGCCGCCGCCTCCTGGGCGGCCAGCGGGGACTCCTTGGAGTGCCGGGATTTGTGCCTCTTGTGCCGGGAGCCCGCGCGGTGCCTGTCCCTGCTGTTGGAGCCGCCCGCCTGCGAGGCCCCGCCGCCGCCGTCCTTCTTGCCCCCATGTCTCTCCGGGTTGGGCATTCCTTCCTTGCCCCGCCGCGCTCGGGAACGGCCGAGAGGGGAGGGGGGGGGAGGGAGAAACTCCTGGGAACCCCCCCCGGGGCTTCAAACTCCCTCGAACTCCCTCCTCGCCCGCCCCGGGGCCTCGGCCCTCCCTCCTACATGGGGAGCGGGCCGCGAGGCCCCGGCGGAGGCGGGAGGGAGGGGGAGACCCGGCAGGGGAAGGGAGGCCCCGGGAAGGGGCGGGGGAAGGGCCGCGGCCTCACCGCCTCATCCGCGGGGGGCCCAGGCCCGGCGCGCGGGGAGGCGGTGCCGGGGGGGGTTTCCCCGGAGCGCTGCCCTCCCCCCCCCCGCGCTGTGGGGCGGCGCTGGGGGCTCCCCGCGCGAGGGTCCCCGGGCGAAGGGCGGGTCCCGGCGCTGCCGCCCCCGGCCCGGCCCGGCCCCCGCGCGCTGCCCGACCCGCAGCGGCGCCGACCGGGGGGCACCGCGGCTCTCGCGAGAGCCCGCGCAACTCTCGCGAGAGCGCCTCCCTCTCCCCCGTCCTCCCTCCTTCCTTCCCTCCCTCCCTCTCCCCGCGGCCCCTCCTCCTCCTCCTCCTGCGCGCCCGTCCTCTCGCGAGATCCGCCGGGATTGACGCTCCCGCCCTCAGCCAACTTTTATTGGGGCGCGGGGCGGCGCCCCCTGGCGGCCGGCCCGCCGCCGAGCGCCATGGCGCCCGCTCCTCCTCCCGCCGCTTCTCCTCCCGCCGCCGCCGCCGCCGCCGCGCCCTCCGGGGCTGCCGGCGCCTGCCGCGCCGCACCGCCCGCCGCTAGCGGGCGGTTAACGCGCCGTTAAAAAAAAAAGAAAAAAAAGCAAAAAAAAAGCTCCCGCGAGCCGCCGCCGCGCCGCGAGGTGTCCGTGAGGGGTGAGGGGGGAGTGGGCGGGGCCTCGGCCGGCGGCGGGGCAGCGGCGGGAGTCTCGCGAGATCTCCGGAGGGCGGGAGGGGCGCAGCGGCCATGGCGGCCGCGGCCGTGTGAGGGAGGGCCAGGGCGGCCCGGCCCGGCCCGGCTCGGCCCGGCCCCGCCGCCGCCAGCGCACCCCAGGCCCCCCGGCCCCGCCACACCGGCCACGGCACCAGCGCCCCGACATGAAGGCGGCGCCGGGCGGCGCCGAGGGTGAGTGCGGCGCGGGGGGCCCCGCGTGTGGGGACGGGGGTCGAGGCGCCGGGTTTGAGGAGCTGCGGGCTGAGGCGTCGCCCCGGAAGGCGCGGAGAGCGAGGGTCGCGAAGGTGTGAGGGGTCTTGGGGTTCTCTGTGAGCGGGGCTGGTTAGGAAAGAGGAGGAGGAGAGGGGACCCGATGAACCCATACCCACGTCCACACAAATATCCTATTTGAGAGGGCTGCCCCCCAGTCCATACGAATCTTGCAAACACTCATACAAATATCACGCTTGAGAGAGGACCTCATCAATATATACAAATCTATCAATACTCGTGCAAATACCCTATTTGAGAGGGGATTCCATCGATATGTACAAATGTACCAAATACCCAGTTTGAGGGGGGGGTCCCACCCTCGTGCCCTTCCCTGACCGTTCCTGTCCCCCAGAGGCGGAGAAGCTGAACAAGATGAGCTCCCTCCTGGAGAGGCTCCACGCCAAGTACAGCCAGAACAGGCCCTGGACAGAGACCATGAAGCTGGTCCGGCAGGTCATGGTGAGGATTCCCAGGCTCTGCTTTCTTTTTGTGGTGGTTTCTCACATCTCCTCAAGGTGTTTCTGTTTTGCCCGAGGTTCCACTCCCTCCTGGGAGTTACCTAAATGAACCTCCCTTGGCTGCACAGGAGTTGTAGTAATTCCCACTTCCTGAGGAATGCACAGAAATGACCTTTTTTTTCTTCTTTGTGACCAAGGAAAAGCGGGTTGTGCTGAACTCAGGGGGGCACCAGCACCTGGTGAGCTGCTTGGAGACCCTGCAGAAGGCCCTGAAAGGTTGGTGTGTCCCTCTGGCTGGCGAAATCCTGTGGGAATGCTCCTTAAAACCCCCCAGGGGTGCTGCTGGCATCTCTCCTGGTGCTCACGTGGGCATCAGCACACCCAGCTTGGAGCCAGCAGCACCAGGCAGGGTTGGCTGGGGCTACCCCAGCCCTGGAAGTGTCCAAGGCCAGGTTGGACGGGGCTTGGAGCAACCTGGGATAGGGGAAAGTGTCCCTGCCCATGGCAGGGGGTGGCACTGGGTGGGTTTTAAGGTCCAGGAAATTTTGAATCCATCCCTGGATTCCACTTGCAGCAGAAATTCCCTTCTCTCTGTGCAACTTGAGAAGGTTCTGTTCTCTCTGTGCAGGTGGTTCTGCCTGTGCTGGAGCTCAGATCCTCCACAACTGGGAAGGAGTGAGCAGGCACGGGGGAGGGACTGAGTGCCTGGGATTGGGTTTGTTGTTGCTGGTTTATTCCTCGGGGAGTGTCAGGTCCCTCCAGTGAGCCCTGTTCTCGTTCTCTCCGCAGTCTCATCCCTGCCTGCCATGACAGACCGCCTGGAGTCCATCGCCAGGCAGAGCGGGTGGGTCCCCTGAGCTCCTGGCTGAGACCTTCCCTGCCCACACCAGCCCCTGCTGCTGCTGCTGCTTGGCCTGGGGGCTGTGTGTGCACCTCACAGCAATGTCTGTTCTGTTTTCTCTGCAAAGCCTGGGGTCCCACCTCAGTGCCAACGGCACCGAGTGCTACATCACCTCGGACATGTTCTACGTGGAAGTGCAGCTGGATCCCACCGGGCTGCTCTGCGACGTCAAGGTGGCCCACCATGGAGAGAACCCCGTGGTGGGTATCCCCCTGGGAAAGAGGGTGGGAACGCCTTTGTGGTTCTGGGGTTGCCATTTACCTCCCTTCTGTCTGAGCAGGGGAAATGGGTTGTGTTTGATGTTCCCCAAGAGCTGGGGAACCTTTGCTGCTCATTCTGGTGGGAAGTGAAGCCCTCCGGGGAGTAGTTTGCTCCTGTGGGATGAGCTGATTGATTTACAGTGTGGATTTATGGCTGGAAAAAGTTACTTGAGGAAGTTCTTTCTGTGACCCTGAGAATTTCTGGAAGTTATCCCTGTGTTTCTGAGGAAAGGGAAATTAATGGAATGGAAAGTACTGAAAGGGGGAATGCTGGAACAAAATTACTTTATTGCCCTTCTGCACATGGAGGAGAACTTGAGCTTGGTATTAGATTGGCCTGGAACAAGAAGCAGAGCTAGGTGTGGGTGTGGGCATTGGGTTGTTCCTCAGGAGGAGCTGATGCTCAGGAATTTCACTCTCCTGATATTTTCCAGTTGCTGTGCTGCGCAAAGCCTGAAATCCCTGCATCCCACACTGACATCCTTGTTCTTTCCTTTCCAGAGCTGTCCAGAACTGGTGCAGCACCTGAGGTGAGTAAGGAGGTTTGGTGGTTGTGTTTTGTGACAGGTTTCTCTTTGCTCTGGTGATCTGATGGTATTTTCTGCCAGGAAACACAAAGTGTTTCATAACTGCTCCTTCCCCACAAAGTCTCTCCCCTTATCCAGGGGATTTGTCTGCATTAACACCAGTTTTTATAAAAAAACCCTTCTTACCTGCTACAAATCTGAATACTTGGTAACTTTCCCTCCTTTTTCCTTTCAGAGAGAAAAATTTTGATGAGTTTTCCAAGCATCTGAGGGGGCTCGTGAACCTGTATAAGCTGCCAGGAGAGAAGTGAGTCTGGAATGCATTTACATCCCCATACCTAAAATTAAAACAGCCCCAGAGTACATTCAGTTATATCCACACACTTCCAAGGTTTGCACTGCACAGTTCAAGTTTTCTTATGTTGTTCTGTTGTTGTTTTTCTTTCTCCTCAGCAAACTTAAAACCAAAATGTACTTGGCTCTGCAGTCCTTGGAGCTGGATCTGCAGAAGATGGCTGGCATGTATTGGTAAGGATGGTTTTATGTGTGTAAATAAATGCTCAGGGCTCCGAGAAATTTCCTTTTTAGCTGCAGAATTCGATTGAAAGAGAGTCAAAAAGGCAAAATAAAAAGTTTGTGAGTGGATGGATTCCCAAGAAATTGGGAAACTTCTGACCGTGTTTCACTGCTGTAGGTTTGGTGGATAAACCAACCACGCTCCAGAGAGCAAAGTAACTTTTATTTTACCTGTAACATGTAAAGTTTAGAATCAGTCCCTCAGTGTGACCCAGAAATGTGTATTTTGAGCTAAAATTTTGGTCTCAACCTGCGGGTTTTGGCTTGTTACGGACTGATTTCCTCTCTTGCAGGCAAGCCACCAATGCCAACCCCCTGGACAAGATTCTGCACGGCAGTGTTGGTTATCTCACCCCCAGGAGCGGAGGTACCTGTGCCTGACATTAAAAAAAAAGCAATTAATCACAATTAATTCCTCGGGGCCCCCTTTGTGGGCGTTGCTTTCGTACCAACCGGGGGCAGGGATCTAAAATAACAACCAAACTAAAAAGGGGGACCAGGGGATTGAGTGTTTGTGTGGTCCTGGGGGGTCTCCAGTGACCAGGCTGATTGTCAGGATGGCTGACCACAAGCTCCTGTCCCCCAGGTCTCCTGATGAACCTCAAATATTACGTGTCCCCCTACGATTTATTTGAGGACGGCAGCGGAGCCCCCGTGATCCTGCACGAGAACAATGGTGGGTCAGCTCTGCAGGTGGGGTTGGGCTCCTGCTGCCTGAGGGAGGGGAGGGGGAAGCACAGCTCCAGACTGGCACCCTGGAATATGGGAAAGTCACAGCTTGACTCACTGAGGACACAGGTTTGGTGAGCCCGGGTGTAAAGGCTGGCCCAGTCCACCATTGTCTTGAACCTTATGGCTGGAGGTGGGACTGGGGTGACAGTCTGCAGACAGAGCCTTTGTCCTTAGGGGGAATCTCATTTTAAAGTCGAATAATCCCTTGAAACTGCACAGCCAGTGTCTGAGCTCTCTGCTCTCTCAGATCTATCCTGGTTCTCCTTCAGTCACTAAAGTTTACTTCCATATTACAGAGTGAATCATGCAGGGTGTGATCCTTGGGGTGTCCTGGGCAGGGTCAGGAGCTGAACTCAATGATCCTGAAGGGTCCCTTTCCAACTGAGGATATTCTGTGATTCCATGATTTATTTTGTTACTGGAATAGAAACACAGAATCACACAGAAGGGTTTGGGTTGGAAGGGGCCTTAAAGCCCTCCCAGTCCCACCTCCTGCCATTCCACCTTCCACTAGAGACCAGGTTTCTCCAAACCCCGTCCAACCTGGCCTTGGACACTTGCAGGGCTGGGAAGTTTATTTAATTCATGAAGTATTTAATGTGTAAAGCTTGCACTGGTGGTTTTAACAGGCTCTTTCCCCACAGTTCCTCGCTCGCTGGGCATGAACGTGTCCGTGACAGTCGAGGGCACCATGACCATGCACAAGCTCCCCATTGCTCCACTGATCATGGGCTCCCACCCCGTGGACAGCAAAGGGTAATGG